ATTCACTGTAAGTACTATCTGTAATAATAGCAAATTCTAGCAACCTTTTATGGGGTAGAAATGCCAAACCACCTTCTCTGCTAGCGCCAATGACCATTCTACCAGAAACTTACCCTTCTCTTAGTTATGCAGTAAGTTATGAAGGTTCTCTGGTCACTATAACGGCTTGCACTGCAAATGTGGATTGTAGAAAAACAAGAAGTCCCAATCTTTTCCCTAGAAACATGCATACTTTCTGTAAGTTATACAAATATTTGTTTGTGTTTTAGATTTTTTGTTTYCTGACTGTTGGTGATCTGAGTCGTTGYGCAAGATGTTGTCGGAGTTGGAAAATGTTGGTTCAAGCAAATATTCTTTGGAGTAAAGTAAGCTTATGGATTTATTTGAATTGTAATTTTATCATCAATAATGTCAAATTTAGACCATTTTTTTTAAATTAAAAGTTCATATTTTTATTTGTAAATATATATGATGTTCTTTTGTTAGGTGGATATGACCCAAGTTAGACACAGGTAAATAGAAAATTGCTATTGGACTCTTATTAGACTTATAACCATAATATTCAAGATTTATAACTCAAAAAACATTTCATAAGTGCATGAATTAAGGAACTGTGGCACTTTTGTGTTGTGCCAGTGTCATCTCCTCACAATGTTCAAATCTCAAGTTCAGTAATTCTTTATTCTCAAATTGTAGGTGTCTATTTAACAAATCGAAATCGCTTTTCTATGGTCTGTACACTTATCGACAATTCAAATGAATTGAATTTGATTGAATTGTCGATAAGTGTACAGACCATAGAAAAGCGATTTCGATTTGTTTTTTACCATAACAAAGCCGAAAACAAAGTAAAACTTTCAAAACAAAATCGTTTCTGGCGTGTGCCGGCTCCGTGCGCGAGCGATTCGTTATTTCATTGATCTGTCCTACGGTCGACAACGGCTCTCGACCAATCAGCGCGTGAGAATTCTACTAGTTATGGTAAAACATGTATTCCAAGGTCGTTTGTTGTGTTTATTATCTTTTTTTCCTTGTATATTCAGTGCTACAAATAAAGTGACATCAAAACTGATTCACAAGTGTAGACCATTTCTTGGTCACCTAAACCTTAGAGGTTGTTACAACCTGACTCGCGACAGTCTGAAAGTCGTTGGTAAGTCTTTGGTTTGAAGATAATAACTGACAGTATTTGGGGCTTGATTGTATCATCTTTGAACCAATATGTTTTGTTTTGTTCCTGAGTTTTAAGGCTCAAAATAATGTCTGGACCTATGCAGAACATAAATGTTGTTCCAAACACTTTTTTGGAAGGCCATGATTAATTTTTTAAAGATAGAGCCAGCAAATAATGTCCTTTCAAATCCTGATTTGACAGGACATTTAGCAAATTGGGAAGGACATTGTCCTTTGACCTCACCGTATAGTCTTATATGGAGACTTGGAGTTTTAATCTGATCATGTTGTAGGATGTTAGTGATAATTCAGTTTGATCTAAACAATGATGGTACTCATTCTAACTTGTTGTCAAGTGATAATCTTGTATCTTTTCCAGGACAATGCAGAAACTTGCAGGATCTTAATTTATCAGATATCCAAGGAGTTAATGTATGTTAATCTGTCATGGATGTGTATGTTACCTGCTTAATTAACTGTTCTCCTTGTGACTCATGTCACAAAGAGGCTTCACATTGTTTTTCCACTTTTCTCTCTACTGCCTTTTAAGGCACTTACTTTCATGTCCTCCACCCACTCTCTTCCAAGTGCAGAGGCCAACCAAATCTCCATAGGCCTTCACCATGTTGTAACAGCACTGYTTTATTCATTAAGTTCAGGGATAGATATTTTACAGCAAGGCATATTTTAATTTTACAGCAGAAACTGTTACATAATGACTTCAATGTTCAAAAGAAATCTTTACGATTTAGGATTTTCTGCAACTTTTGGGCGTAGCTTGCTGCAGATCAGGCAATGACTGAACGAGTTTACAATAAAGCTCACCCCTTAGATTGAAGGATAGAACAAAAATGAAAACAAACTTCGAAATGAAGAAGTCATGATGAAATGATTTTCGCTGTAAATCAAGGCTAGTTAAGGAATGCAGTCTCATCTTTGTTCTGGTTTTTGTTCATGACAGGATGAAGTAATGAAAGATATAGCCATTGGTTGTACTAGTCTGCTATATCTAAATATATCAGGCTGTCAAATATCGGACTCTACCCTAAGATACCTTGCAAGGTAGGGATGAATTAAATGGAATCGAATGGATGAATAAATGAAAAACGAAATGGATCAATGAATGAGTGATAAAGTGAATGRATATGAGATTGAATATCGAGAACAATTTCTAAATGGTTCTTGATGAATTTTAGCTATTTAAAAAAAAACCGGTCAAATGTGTGGACAATATTATTGAATATCTGCTTTATCATTGCAGATATTGTACTGATATATTGCTTTATTGCCATAGATATTGTACTAACATGCAGTATCTCAGCCTCGCCTACTGCAATAAGTTCACCAACAAAGGTCTAAGTTACATGGCAAGTGGAAAAGGATGCAACAAAGTCATCTACCTTGACACCTCAGGATGTGTTCAGGTATGCAAATTRTGATACATCTACTTTTGACTGAAGGTGYYKTGTGTSTYKTSWMAAAGGATGATTTGTCTGAAGTGTGAGCATATTGCGCACATGMAAATGCTCAAAGAGGACCACTCTCAGACAAAAAGAGTATTTAAAAAATATTGTAGATAGTCAATTAATGATAAAACATTTTAACTTTATTCAGCCAAACCTCTATCAAACGGGCGTATTTAGCGGTCATCATCCATTAAGCGGTCACTCACGAATGAATTCCTCAGATGTCGACTTCTAACCTCTATTAAACGGGCGTCTATTTAGCGGTCATCATCCATTAAGCGGTCACTCATGAATGAATTCCTCAGAAGTCGATTTCTAACCTCTATTAAACGGCCGTATTTAGCGACCATCATCCATTAAGCAGTCACTCATTCAAAATTCAAACTTCCTCAAAATTCAAAATTTAACTTCTAACCTCTATTAAACGGCCAACCTTTAGTAAGCAGTCACCTCGTATTTCACATAAAGGTGACCGCTTAACAGAGGTTTGACTGCAACATCATTACATTTACAGATCACCGAAGAAGGCTACAAACACATATCCATGGGTTGCTCTAGTCTCAACACTATTATCTTGAACGATTTACCCAATATGAGGGATGAATGTATCAAGGTAAGCTCTGGTTTGAACAACTCACTCCCTGGCTAGTCTGATCTTCATCTTGATATCTATTTCTTTACAGGCATTGACATCAGATTGTCGTTCAATAAGGACCGTTTCCATCCTAAACTCTCCTTTCCTTTCTGACATGGCTTTTAAATGTCTGGCAACATGTAGGCGTCTCCATAAGATTCGTATAGAAGGTAAAACATACGCTCTACTCCTTCATTTCACTTCATTRCATCATCAATGCATACTATATGCAACTTGGAATCATCTTTCCTTTCATCGTTTCACTTTGTTTAGGTCATCCATGTCAGTGATAGACCTTTGTCACTTTGACATCATGAAAAACATTCTACTGTTCTAAGGCAGGAGCATAGCGTGCTTAACGCATATACACACGCACGTGCGTACTATTGGCAAGGAAATATTAAAATTTTCGGGAATTTTTTTTATAAAATTGTCTCGATGTCCCTCAAAACTCAGGAAATCGCGTTTCCAAGAGTTAAAATTTCAAAATTTCCTAAGGGAGGAACCCCACACCCCCTTAATACTCCTGACTTCGGCGCTCGTTACACCCCCCCCAATTCAAAATATGTGTCGCTGTCCCTGACATGTGCGTACTAGCCAAGAAGTCCACGCTACGAGCCTGTAACGAAGGCTTAAGGCTGATTTACACGGCACGATTGTCTCGTGCGATTTGTAGATACGACTTGAATCGCGCAGTGTAAATGCCCCTACGACTTGTCTACAACAGTCGTACGGAACCTACGACTTGTAGTAGGGTTTTGAACCACTGCTTAAAATCCTACGACTTGTAGTAGGAAAATCGTATWCTAMAAGTCGCGCRCGACAAATCGTACCGTGTAAATCAGCCTTTAGTATTATGGTCGCTACTGTAGAGGGGAAAAGCAACAGTGAACAAAGAAGAGACGAATCGCAACAGAYACTATGAATAAAATGACAGACAATCATTGTCACAATATGTATTTAGAAACTAGAGAATGTGAAGTTCGAATTTCTTAGGGAAGGAGGTTTTGAGAGATTTTAACCCCATGCGAACATGCTGTGACATCATAGCGAAAGAGGGATATTAATACTTACGTTGGCTATGTTCATGCACAGGTAATAATCGTATTACAGATGCATCCATCAAAGTCCTTGCCAAAAGTTGCCCATTACTGGACCATGTGTACTTAGTTGATTGTGCGAGACTTACAGATTTGTCACTAAAGGCCTTGGCTTCCTGTAAACACTTACGTGTAGTGAATATTGCTGATTGCGTTCGGTAAGATATCAATACTCATTGTAGAAATTTTACGTAGGGCATTGCAACGTGCTACCGTAGCAAAGTTACAAGTTGACAATACGATATCCACTCGCTAGAATATTGTGCCTCCGACCCCCTGTACAATGTTGGGTGGCTATTTCCATTTGATTTTTCGTGCTTCAGTACCATGGCATCATGTACAAGGACAAAATTGACCGTGGAGGGGTCGGGGAGGCACTGTAAGGTCGTGTCGTCAGTAGAAAACTAACAAGATGCGTTAAGTATAGAGTAACAGTTTATCATGTCCAAATGTACATTGTCCATGATTGTAGATTTACTATATACATGAATTAATGACTGAATATATGAAAAAGTGATGAAAAATGGATGAAAGGATAAATTAATGATAGATTCAGTCATGAAGCAAAGAAATCATTGAATAAAAAGATGAATCTTCGCCATATATAGAATACAAGATACTGGTGTTCGGCAAATCGTGGAAGGACCGTCCGGGGCAAAGCTACAAGAACTCAACCTAACGAATTGTGTGCGTGTCAGCGATGTTACTCTGCTACGAATTGCACAAAGGTACGATTTATCTTATTTTCTCCTTGAAACAACAACAACAACAACAACAAAAAATAGATGGTAAGTCATCTTGATTAATTGATACATTCCTTAAGGATAAATACCTTACCGACGCACCGGCGTTGGTCTTTCTTCATAGGTAGAAATACCAGTAAGTTTTCTATAGTTTTATCAGTGACAGATTTAAAAGCTGTGAAACGGGGCATGGTATAGATTCTGTCTGTCTGTCTGTCTGTCTGTCTGTCTGAATTATGTAGATCGTATACTATGTAGTTTATATGCCCCAGCGCCCCCTGGTAACCCCGTTGGTCCCMCCCCTGCTTATGACTCATCTTCTTACACAAACTATTTCATTAGAAAACAGCGACTAAGCTCACACTAGTTTAACGACAGTTATATTTCTTCATTTTCTTAACTGCATGTATTAAATTCTCTCTCAAGGTGCCACTCCCTAGTGTATGCTAGTTTCTGCTACTGTGAACACGTGACCGACGCCGGGGTTGAGCTACTGGGTACTCTACCAGCCTTAGTYTCCTTAGATCTSTCTGGATGTAATYTACAAGACGCAGGCGTAGCAGCACTYGGCAATAATCCTCAATTTAGAGACATTATCTTGAGTGAATGTAATAAAATAACAGACTTGGGWCTACAGGTATGGCGCTTAGAGCGGATTTCGTATGAGTGGGACACCGTTACCGCACRGTTACCGGACCTGGCCTTCACAATTTTGGTGAACCAATGAGACACTAGAATTTGGTTACAGTACGATTAAGGTCACAGTACAGTACCGTCCGTTTCCCACTCATACGAAATCCGCTCTAGTTTATCAGGAAAGGAAATGTCACATATGTAATTAGTCGCATAAACAATGAAACATAGAATAATGTGCATGAAACAACTAAAGGGGAAAGAACATAAAGAAGACATGGAGTACTTAGATGAATATAATACCAATTGTATTAGTACGCATGGTTATATCACGAGGAAACTATCTTGTGTAAAGGACTTAAACGTCACTTTAAAACTTGACAGAGAATTGCACTTTGTTGACTTTGCAGAAAATGTGTCAGCAGTGCCGCATGTTGGAGAATCTGGACATATCTCATTGCACAGTAAGTTTTTTTCATTTTTTTCTTCCTCCCCTAACTCCCTTCCTTCCTTCCTCCCTCCTTTCTCCCTCCCTCCCTTCCTTCCTTCCCTCCTTCCTTCCT